TGTATGCACCCCTAAACCCTAGAATCTCAGCCCTGTAAACCCTATAACAAAGAGCATACTCCCGACCAATGGCCAAGGATGCTAACCCTAAACCCTAAAACCCTAAACCCCTAAACCCCTAGACCCCTAACCCCTAAACCCTAAACCCCTAAACCCTAAATCCTAAACCCATGGCCAAGGATGCTCAGCAGCCTAAGCCTTGGGGACAGCCTGCCTCGGCTGGGGCTCAAGTTCTTCGGCAACATCTCGGATGAAACAAGGCAGGGATTGAGGCTTTAGGGCGTTGGGTTTCTGTTTTGGGGTTTCTTGATTTAGGGTTTTTTGGGGTTTAGGTTTAGGGTTGAGGGTTCAGGATATTTTGCGGGCTTAGGAGCTTAGTGGGTCTAAACGTATACTAATCTCTAGCACCATGCAGCCCTCAGGCGTTAAAGCTCATGCTCGCTCCATTGGAAAGTCCTGCTAACTACATCCTGCCGAGATGACAACCCAAACCCCATCTGCTCCAAGGTATGCATAGTCCATCACAGAGCCTCACCAAAGAGGCGAGGTTCGGTTCATATCGGTAGGCCCGCGCTCAACCCCTAGACCCTAAACTAAGCCCTGCTTTTGTCAAGAGCCCTGTCATGGCGTCGAAAGGCGAGAAGCCCAACAATGGCAGAAGCAGCAGCAGGACTCCATGGTTTCGGTTCATACATGGAGGCTTTTGCAATGTTCTTGTTTTGAAGGTTTAGGGGTTTTTAGGCGGGTTTGGAGTTTAGCGAAAAGGGGCCCTTCGATCTTTTTGTTGCATCTTGGCTGAAAGGGGCAGCGGTTCGGGAGAGCTTGGTGGTTCCAAGGCTTGGGCGTTTGGGGTTTTTGCGCTCTTTTCCAGGAGGCAAGTTGGGAGGGTAGGAAACTTTGTTCCGCTGTTTGGCAGGTGCCTGTACAAAGGCTTGCAAAAGGCAGTTTAGCTAGAGGAGGCCTTGCCGGTTGAAGTGTATGACGCCTCTCCCAACCTTCCATGCCGGGACATCCACCCCAAGATCTCAACCCCAACGCCTCAGCCCAGCTCTACTCCATGATCCCAACCACCCTGCCAGCCCATGAACAAGTTCTCTTCTCCCGATACACAGCACGTCCGGATGCAATGAGACAGCTGTGTTAAACTCATAATGTTCAAGCAGCCAAAGTACAAGAAGATGAGACAAGCAGACACAAGACAATACGATGTTCAAGACGTGTTTTATAATGCTTAGGCAGTTGCTGACCTTAGGGCTCCACTTACTTCAATAGTAGGTTACTAGCCATACATTATGTAAGCCGCCCATCTTTAGGTATCCGGAGAACTAGGGTTTAGGGTTTAGGTTTAGGGATTTGGGGGATCAGCTTGTGGAGAACTGCTTTGCGTGCGAGGAGAACAGACAGCGATCGCGAGGGCCTCTGCCTACGTCGGTCGGTGAGTCGATCCGAGCATCATGCCGTGTATAATAAGCCTACATAAAGATACCCCAAAGCAGTGTTATTCTAGAGTTTGCGCCCGGGTCACCAAATATTGCCGGGAGGAACTAGAGCATGTAAAATTCAACAGCCCGCGAAAGAGATCACCACAACTATTAAACTCTCAAGCTTTCTATAAAATTCCTGGAAGCCCTATCCTAGTCATTAAGGCCCCGTAATCCCTAAACTTCCCTAAGACCTAAACCGTCGCTGGAAAGAACTTGTAGCTCTCGAAGTCTCCGAAGCTTCGAGGCGAGCCGAGGCGCCGCCAAAGTCCAAAGGCGTGTGAGCCTGAGCATTCTCTTCATTCTTGTGAGATTCAGGGGTTAGGGTTTTTAGGGTTGGGGTTAGGATTTAGGGTTTAAGGTGTAGGGTTTAGGATTTTGGGCTTAAGGTTTCGGTTTATGGCACTTGGTGTTCAGAATTTCGGTTGGGGTTAAGGGGTTAAGGGGTGCCGTATCGTATAAGGAGTATTATCACGGCATTATATGGTACGAGGGGCACTGTAACAGATACTTTACTATAGGTTCTTATAATCAGGTACCATGACGGGTACTATACGGTTGGGTCCTATAGGGTTACCACAAGGTACTATAAGGGATTCGACAAGGTACACTGAAATTTTGCAGCTCGTGGCTTGCTACAGAGGCTTTCAAAGACATCTTCTCTGTCCTGTGCCTCTAATTGTGGATGCCCGTGAATCAGCGGTTTCATGACTAATTCGCACCAATAGTGCAGCAGGTAGGGATATGCAACTTGTTGAGCATGTTCTGTTCTGTCAGTCAGATTCAGGTACTACCGACGACTCCCACATACTAGTAGTACAGGAGCTTCGCCAAGTCATACGTCCACTTCTTTGTGTTCCTTTGCTTGTATTTTGCGGCAATGAACCTCCGAAGCCTTATTCTACTTGTTCGAGCGAACATGTCAGAAACATTGGATGGACTTGGGCTGTGGGACCCCTTGCCAACTCCGGACAGCCTCCAGCATACCCAGTCTCAATGACTCCTCAGGACCACGCCCAGTCTTGTTGCATTCACTGTCACTGATAGCGTCCCTCTACTTAAGTAGAAATGTCTGAAAAATCTCTCTCTCTCTCTCTCTCTATCTATCTATCTATCTATCTATCCATCTATCTATCTATCTATCTATCTATCTATCTATCTATCTATATATATAGTGGCATCCCCTCATAGTCGCCACTTTATAAATTGTATGTAGCTCCACACCCTGGCTGAGTTATCAAAGTCCCCCCCTTAGGTGCCTCAAGGTATGTCATGATGTATGGGATGTATGTATATTTATGTAAATGTCATAATGTGTACATATATAATATGATATATATATATATGTTTCCACATACAAACATACACAGACATGTGTTTGTGAGAGAGTATGCAGCATGCATGCATGTTTGTCTGCCTGCCTGCCTGCCTGCCTGCCTGCTCGCGACAGGGTCTAGGACTTGATGCTGATGCTTGCAATTTTCGAATATTCACTAGTATTATTTAGTGTTGAAACATATCAGCTACCACGAACTAGCTTTAAAAGTTACAACTTACCGGGCTCAACCCCGGAAACCCGATAATGTATTTCGGGTTCAGAGCTCTGGAGTCCTATGGCAGCCATTGGTTGCGCCCCTCTAGGACATTTTCAGGTGGGTAGTTACCGTTATAGGAGCCTTATAGAAGGTCTATATACTTTATAGAAGCCTTATAGAAGCCCTAGAAAACCCTAAACTCCCCACCTGTAGTTTCCTTTACGCCCCCAAGGCCCTCATGAAGGTCGTCGGGCCTGCTGGCTTTGGACGCGGGGCTGCCTGGGACAGCCCTCAACCTTAGTCTTTTGGGTTTAGGGTTTAGGGACAGCCTTTTGTGCGAAAGGTTTCTTTTCAACTTGAGTCTGCTCCGTAGTATTATTGCTGTTTCTTCTGATTTTGGTTACTATCATCAACAAGTTGTATTGTTACGATGGTGGGTAGTACTGAAGTTAGTCTATTGTAATTTCCACGACTACATTTTAGTAGCTGCAATGACGGCTCATTCCCATCCTACTGCCGATCATGACGACCGTTGATGCTACTATACCAAAGACGGCGACTACGAATGTTGCTGCCGTGTTCACTTCGTAAATGTAAAGGACTTCCGAAGAACAGGCAAGAGATATCCCTGTGGCTAGGGGTGCACTGAGGTTTGGCCGAGGTTCCGTTCGACGAGTACGACGACTACGACGATTTCGGCCAATACCCGCAGATCAGGACGAAGCCAAACAAGCCCGTGGAGGAGCCGAAACCGCAGGGCAAGACAAAGGTGGAGACTAGTACTCCAGATCGGAATCTCGGCTTTGTTCGGCTGTATTTTGTGAGCTTCCCATCCGGGACTTGTAATTCGAGCCCAAAAAAAGACTCATTGCCCAGGAAGGCCACGATCGAAACAACACCCGAGTCGGACGGGATCGACAGTGGGATCCAGACGGAGAAGATGCTGATGCCGGGATCCACAGCCGTTGACACTACACCCTTGTCCATTAGCCAAGAGAACCCAACGCACAGTAATTAGTCACAGCAAGCTTCCTTCAGCGCCCTTCGAGGAAGTCGATCCTCTCCGCTTCATGGCCCGTATCCCAGCCCGTGGTTCGGATTCAGCTGGGTCTGGAGTCTAGACGCTGTTGTCGTTGTTTCTGCCGTTGCTGTGGTCGTTGATGGGCCGGGGTGGTGGCGGTGGCGGTGGTGGTGAGACCACTATTAAGCAAAGTGATCAAGCGCTAGTCTGATTTCTCTGTATATCACTGCATCACAACACCTGAGCGAACGGCTTGTTTAATTTCAGTATAACAACCTGAACTGTTCTCTGGCCTCATATGTTGACCGTACGGATGAGCCTATTTCACTGTCATTTGAGCCTCAGCGCCGGACTCTGGACATTTCACGGTTTAACTATCTACGACAATCTACGACACGAGCTTGTGGCCGTGGGGTCAAGAGTTTACGTCTGGGAAACCCAGGATGAGGCGTGGGTTTGCGCAATCTCACTCACCATATCACGTGCTTGTGCCACCCAAGACCATCTCGCGCCTTCGATATGGTTTGCTATGTAGTTAGTGACCTTTAAGCCCTATGTCGTACACCCCAAACTGTGACCCTAGACCTTATAGGACGTGTTATCATATACTGCAGGATACGTTTACCAATGCATAAGGAACTAGACGATCATATGACGTATTGAGCAGCGCCTGGAGACCTGAGAGAGACCATTCTATAGCCCTACGAAGCGCTTCGTCGAGGCTCTCTCCACCAAAGCCAGAAGCCGTGGCGAAGAAAGAGAACAACCAGGCTGAAGAGCTTCGTTAGGGTTTAGGGTATACCCATAGGCTCCTTAGTAGTTCCTTGTCGGGACTACCTTACAGAGTTTAGGGCTTAGTTCAGCGAACAAGCAGGCGTTTGACACGGGATGTTGGGGGGTGTATGGGATCTGGGATTTGTAGGGCCCAGGCTTCCAGGTTTCAGGGTTGGGGCACTTTAGGGCTTGACACGTAATGTACCAGCATCCCGTTAGTACCCCTAGATTCGATGTGACAATGCCTACATAGACCCCTTAAGAAAATTCTTATAGAACCCGTATAGCGCCCATAGGCCCCCTTAAGGGAACACTGTCAGGGGCTTCAGGAAATCTAGAATTGCAGTAAGATTATGCCACGCCTCCTTGGATCCAAACATGAGTGCTTGCTCGGGTTTAGGGTTTAGGTTTAGGTAGCAACCGGACGGCAACAAAGGGGGCTCCCCACCGCGAGATGTTTGCATTCGCAGTAAAGCCGAGTGGTGAACATCATGGCAGGATGAATCAGATCCGAAGCTGACTCCAAACAAGCATGGACAACATGTCGTATATGTGCGCAGCTACATGTATATGTATGCATGTATGCATGTATGTATATATGTATAAGTATTTGTATATGCATACGTATAGGTATAGGTATATGCATATGTATCTGTATATGTATGTATGTATGTATGTATGTATGTATGTATATGTACATGTACATGTACATGTACATGTACATGTACATGTACATGGATATGGATATGGATATGGATATGGATATGTGTATGTATGTTTATGTGTACATGTATGCATATATATATATATGTGTGTGTATGTATATATATATATATATCATATTATATATAATACATGTACAGCTGCGCAAGCCATCAAGAGTCTCCCATCCCAGCTCAACTATGCGCCCTCCTTGTCCACCTTGGAGGCAATCCATGCTGCGAAGCCTTTCATGCTGGAGGAACCCGGCTGGTCCCCGCAGAGACGAGGAGTCGCCTAGCTTTGAGGCCTTAGAGGGGCTATGAGGCTACGTGCACATGTCCGAGAGTTCTTTCGTGCTGAGCTGGGGCCACGGCACCTCTACCAAGAATCTAAGTGCTTCGAAAATCTCTTGAGACATCGGTGGGGCTCTGAGGGTAGCGGAAATGGCTATTCGACCCTCAAATTGGCTTGTGAGACCGACCTGGAGCATCAGTCTTCAAAGCGGATTGTGATCAGCCCCTGGGTCACTTGTTCAACCGTTCCGGCTCGCATCTCTAGCTATGCAGATTCAAGTTACATGTGTGCATACATGCAGCGTCAGTTCTGTGAGCCTTGGATTTGAAACTCGATGTGCTCTCCACAGGTAACTTGCAGCTGCTTTACCAGAGATCAGTAAAGCTGCCAGACATACATCAGCTACTGGTTTGCCTGAATGTTTGCAATGTGCCGGCAATGAACTCAACGAAGGTCTCCAGTGCCACTTTCCCACTCGTGTGTCCTCTATTGTGTTCGGAAGACTGCCTGCTCGCGTTCCGCGAGGGATCTCAAGGAAGGTGTGACTTGGCACTCTTCCAGAGGCACCATTCCCCTTGACAACTTGCCAAAAACAAGAGAAGACAGCATAAATGGTGAGGAGGGGCGATTTCTGCCCGGACATGCAGTGTAGGAACTTTAGGGATTGCAGGCAACACGGGCTCCCCACACACGCACACACACACACACACACAGAGACAGAGAGAGAGACAGAGGACGTGGCCGTGGCAAAGGAGCCGGTAAGCCAGAGCCTTGGGGGCATCGTGACAGTGTCCTTGGCTTTAGCAGTCGGGAAGTGGTTTACTGAGAACACAATGGCTTGTCCCAAACTCGGCAGGAGCCGTGTCTGTCAGAGAGTGTCTTTGGGCTTGTGGCGTGCAGTCCGCTGCACCTAGACTCGGACCTAGACCGTACACAACCTACCTCTTTAGGGCCCTTCATTATGATTTCCTTATATGAGTCCTTGGAAAGGTAGATTATTCATGGTTAAAGGGCGTCATGTCAACCGGCCCCTAAAGTCTACAGCTCGGAGCATCCATCAATACTCCGTAATCAGTACTATGACTCATCATCTACGGCTCCTTACCACAAGTATGGTATAACATAACCCCAAATCAAACCGTATCCCAACTATAAGGGTCCTGATATCAGCCCCATAGCATCATGGCAGGAACCGTCAACGTCCTCCAAGAGATATTCAGATCTACGTCGATGAGGATTTGCACGGCCCAGAGGTGCGTGGTCATGTTCAAAGAGAGATTCGGGGTGTTGAGGGTTTAGTTAAGGGTTTAGGGTCGTGCCTGCATTAACCACTGTAAAACCTGGAAAGCATAACCCTATAAGGTAATGCAGGATTATGCAGGATTTATATCATCAACCCTAAACCCTAAACCTTAAACCCTAAACCCTAAACCCAGTATCATCACCCATCCGGAGCAGCTTGTTCGGGGTCGCAGTTTGTAGACTTTGCATGAGCCGGATCAGCCCCTGCATTGCTTGGCTTAGGGCTTAGGGTTTGAGGTTCAGGGTGATCGGGTTTGGTGTTTGGGGCTGAGGTTTGGGGGTTCAGGTTTCGGGTTTGGGGTTTTGGGTTTAGGGTTGAGCGATTCTACACGGTACAGGGGGAACCGGAAGCTGTCTTCTGATTCTTTAGATACTAATTTATTTATCCGCACAGTACTAAATAAGAATGATAGTGCCGTTCTGTTAGATGGTAGACAGTATACGCATTCCACTTTGCTCGGGTCCAGTGCCGCGCCCCTGGGCAGGCCCCCAAATTGGACGTCACCCCGCCTGGCCCTGAGAACGGCCTGTCGGTAAGGCGCCGGAGTCAGGAATAATATAGGAGCCTTAATAAGGTTTTGGGGGTAGCTTATTATAAAATATAGTATAATGGATGGACTCCAAACCCTATTCTTAATTATTAAAGCCCTTACATTAACACTGATGACGTCACACCCGCCACCGCGACGACGACCGCGACTAGCAGCACCCAAAGAAGATGATGACAGCCACCGTTGTCAAGCCTGTTCTGATCAGTACCACTACTACTGCTGCAACGACGGCTACTATTACTACCACGCTACTATCGAAGGCGTCTCAACAGCTTAACCGTCAGCATAGAATCCTGCCATCGTCCCATTCAGCAGCTGATGCCATCTATGTCCAACAATTGCTGCGGTTGGCGTGTATCCTTATTTACACAAGGAAACATTTCATTACCATCATAAAGGAGTTGGAAGTGTCATTCTGGCCATCTTTCTCATTCTCCCTACACCCGACAACAGACCACGCCCCAATAAATCCTTAAAGTTTATAGTTCCCTGGTTGCAAGTTTAGGCGTGTTAGTTCCAGTGTTGCAGAATGCGTTTTTAGACGCCACAGCGGCCAAGGGCAAAGAGCAGCAAGCGCTCTGCAAAAGGCCGGCTGTTTGCATCGGAGCAGCAGGGTATTCGATTTGGTAGGGTTTAGGGTTTGGTATTGGACGCCGAAAACCCGGGAAAATGTCTTACAACTTCTGTTGTGTTATAGTTGTAGCATTGGTGCCTGAACACCCCCTATGTCTATACCCCGAAACCAGGGTTCGATAGATGTCTGGGTGTGTATAATCTTGGGGCCTAAATAATCACCAATACCATTTTTGGGGGTGCCCTTTTATAATATTTGTATAATTTGATATCCCGAAACCCCAAAAATATTAAGGCCCCTACACTAGCGCCAGGGTTCGAGCCAAGACCTAATACTCCCGCCCGGCCGTTGGCACGCATATGGGGTGCCGACTCACGACATCCCCATAGCAATGGCTCCTGGGGCTCTCCAGGGTTTTGGGTGTAGGGTCCAGCAAGCAAAAATCATTAGGGTTTAGGGTTTAGGGGAGGATACATTGTTGCTTCGTCTCGTGTGCGCACAGGTTGCTATTTAGCGCGTGCAATGTCGCCAAAGGACAACCAGCCTAGTTTGCAGAACTCTCCACGCTCGAGTCGAACTCAAGGTTTATGTAGGGAGATCGTGCGAAATCAGGCTATTTCGTGAAAAGGGTCGCCATAAGCGGACGGAGACAGATATTCGTGTGCACACGCAGACACACATGCACACACACACACACACACCCACACACACAACATGCAACTGTTCATGTCATCAACATGCACATCCTTACATGTCATACCCATCATGTTCTGTCTGGCAGTCCAAGCTTTTCGTTACGCTTAGTCTTATTAGTACTCCGACTGCTATTATCGAAATTGCTGCTCTTGTACTTTAGTTTGGGTTGCACGTAGTTGTCACAAGATAGCTACCCAAGCTCACAACCCTAAACCTTCAAGCCAACACATCCTACACCCTAGGCCTGTACCTACTAAGTCCCCTGATTACCATTGAATCCCTAAACCCCGAGCCCTAAGCCCGAAACCCCTATTCTTAGAGTCAGGCTCTTCGAAAGGCAAGTCGCCTGTCACGACACCAAAGTCGCCGATGGCCCCAGGAACTCTTTGGAGATCGGCTTCCGTCAGGGGATGTCAGGGGTTCCCGTAAGTGTTCCGGATACGTTCTGTATGTATATACGTGTACATATATATATATACACATACAGATGCACACATCCATAGTTTCATGCAGCAATAACCAATGGTGATAATGATCGCAGTACTGTTAACATACAATGATGATAATAATGCGAATAATAATGATAATGATAAGCAGGAAGGATCTATGGGGGTTCAGCGTTTTGTGTTTTTTGGTCTGTGCCAACCAGATGGTGGTGGGCATTCCATGACCATGCGTTGTTGGGTGTGACTTGTGGCTTTGGTTTGAGCTCTAGCCATGGAGGGCGTTGTGCTGCGCAGACGCTGCCAAGGGCGTACCATAGAGTATCATAAGTAGTTTGCCACAGAAAGTATTCTAAGTCCCTAAACCCTAAACCCCTAAATCCTAAACCCTAAACCCTAAACCCAAGTCCCTTATTCCGACCTTATTATAGCCTCACAAGTAATCTCACTTTTAGTACTCGAGCTCTAAGTCCCTAAGCAGCTAACATCCTCTCCTCCTGCCTTCAGAGAGCTCTGACATGAGATCCGACACCGCCGTCTAGGGGAACCATGCTTCAGAGGAGAGTATATATTAGTATATCATAGTAATATTGTAGTATTACATAGTATATTATATCTATATACATATATACATACATATATATATATATACATACATATGTATATAGTATTGTATCCACTTCCCACGCAATCAGTGAGTCGCTAAGCCCAAAGTCCTAAAATTCCAAACCCGATCTTGAAAGTATCTGAAGCATGCCGCCCGTCACAAGAACTTCGGCTTTTGGGAAATTCCAAGGTCAGAGCCCGCGCGAAACACGCCTGGAGCCCCGATCAAGGAGGGGAACGTTGCCCCAAGTTTGGTGCTTTCGTGGTTTGACTCCAGCCTTAGGGTTAGCGTTTAGGGTTTAGGGCGTGGCTCCGCCGACTCGCCGGTTCTTAGGAGGGAATGGCGGAATGGGTTATGTGGACTACTGCAAGGGACCGTCTTAGGGGTCCAGTCCCCGATTCACTAACAACCAGGGGAGCCTAGATTGTGGGAAAGGGTTTTGTTCCGTGGGGCTTTCGAGTTCTGGCCGCCAGAGCCAGTGTTTCGAGCCTGAGGTGACACACAGACAGCACAGAGAAGCACTATTCAATCGCATATTTGTGAGTATACTCCTCACTGATCATACTGTCGAGGCTGTTCTGACCGCGTACAGGCCACCGAATCCTTAGAACCAGGCACGTTTGGCCGTCATTGACCAGAGTACACATGATTTCAATCCTTATCATAAACGGCAATCTCAATGAGTATTGCGAACAGCATCTGTGTTTGACCCGGTATGGTACTGCCGCACTGCCTGTGTTGCTTCAGGCTTTTATGACTCTAGCTGCAACACTACTCCTCATCTCCTCGCTCTCACAATAAAAGGCAGGGGCTCCACCCTAAGCTCTCAAGCATTGTGAGAACAGGCAGAAAACACCTCAACCCAGAAACACTCACAAACCGACACAGCCCATGGAAGTACGGCCGAAGGAGTCCCGCAAACGTCGGGCCAGCACCCAGAAGACGGAACAGGACATCGGACGACAGGGAGCTTCGGACAATTATTATTATTGTATTGTTGTTAGAATTATTATTATTATTGTTATTATTATTAGGGTCTAGGGTAAGCCTTTGTGTTTGAAGTGGAACGATGGCTACGGATACAGAGGCACGATCGCTGGTAGAAGGTATTTGTATTTGCCTGTCAATGCTGGCATTGCTGGTCTTGTTGTTCTAGGTATCTTGCTGGCAACATGGGTGATGACTTCTCTACTACTTATGTTGTCCGAATTCCCCTCGTGTCATGGTTGTCACGGTCAAGGTTCTCTTCGTGTCACTGCTACATTTTCTTCGCTTGGCAATCTATATAGTCTCATTGCAATGACGAGCATTTCCACTGGCTTCTATGTTCCCTGTCACATCACAGCAGTGGTAACCGACTTCGTCGTCGCAGTGGCAGTCCCAGTCACAAGGATTGGTAGGATACGTGGTAGTGCGAGTAGTCGTCATGTATAGTTGTCTATTTAGTGCGCACGCTCCGAAGCTTTGGGGCCAGTGCGGCTCGAACGACTTTGAGGAGCTTCATTCAAAATCCTCGTGGGCCTTCAGCATGGCTGGATCCTGGCTCTTGGCGCCGCTTCTGCTCGCAGAGGCCCTTGCGAGTCCGGATGTGACTTGCTTGTCTTCCATCAAGGTTATCGACGACTTCCTTTCCGATGCTGAAGCACAGGCCGTGATCGCAGATCTGGAAGCACAGAGGAGTGGCTCGGAGCGCGTTCGCCAGGAGGCGCCCGTGCTGGCACAGCGCCTCAAGTCCGAGCTGAGGTCGAAAGAGCAGGAGGCACAGCTCTCCAGCGCTGTGGAAGTGCTGGAGCCCGTGGGGATCAAGCTCATCCACGAGGTCGCGGGCCATGCAGCTCTAGAGCGACGCCTTCGGGAAACCATGACTGGCAAGGAGGCAGCGCAGCTGGAGGCCTCCAAGTCTTCCGTGCCAGTCTCCCGCAAGAGCGGCGATGTGCAAGAGCATGCGGATCACGTGACCCACTGGGTGAACGGCAAGGTTCCGGGAACAGCTGCAGTCGCCTACCTCGAGTCTGCCCCTGA